GCACTGGCCGTAATGTACAACTCGACTAGAGAGTATTTCTCTTTTACATCGGTCGGTTAAGGGTTCGAATTCTAACGGAGACACTGATATGAATGATAATAATAGTAACACCGTTATCTTATGAGGGTAACAATATAGGAGTTAACCTTCCTTCCAACACACAAACTCACATACGCATATATCCTTACACACACTCACATACACATACACCCTCACACATAATCACATACACATACACCCTCACACATACACACACACCCACACACATAATCACATACACTCTCACCCATAATTACATACACATACATCCTCACACACAATCACATACACATACACCTCACACACACTCACTATACCCTCGCACACACTCACACACACATTCACCCTCACACACATACTCATACACCCTCACACACACTCACATACACCCTCACACACACTTACATACACATACACCCTCGTACACACTCAAATACACCCTCACACACACTCACATACACATACACCCTCACACACAATCACATACACCTCACACACACTCACTATACCCTCGCACACACTCACACACACATTCACCCTCACACACAATCACATACAGATACACCCTCGCACACACTCAAATACACCATCACGCACACTCACATACACATGCATCCACACACACAATCACATACACATACACCCTCACACACACATACACCCTCACACATAATCACATACACATACATCCTCACACACAATCACATACACATACACCTCACACACACTCACTATAACCTCGCACACACTCGCACACACATTAACCCTCACACACAATCACATACACATACACCCTCGTACACACTCAAATACACCCTCACACACACTCACATACACATACACCCTCACACACATATACACATACACCCTCATATAATCACGTACACCTCACACACACTCACTATGCCCTCGCACACACTCACACACACATTCACCCACACACACAATCACATACACATACACTCTCGCACACTCACATACACATACACCCTCACACACTCACACACATACACCCTCACACACAATCACATACACATACACCATCACACACATACACATACACATACATCCTCACACACAATTGCATACACATACACCCTCACACACTCACATACACCCTCACACAAACTCATACACATACACCCCCACACACATAAACATACACCCTACACACAATCACACACATACACCCTCATACATACTCACATACGCATACACATACACCCTCACACACTCACACACACATACACCCTCACACACACATACACCCTCACACACAATCACATACACATACGCCATCACACACATACACATACACCTCACACACAATCACATACACCTCCACGTACACACATGTACACTTTTACACGTACACACATTTAAACATCCATCCATGCATACATATATACATGCATACATGACAAGACATTACATTACATTGAATCAATTGCAGCTTGAAATGAGTCACTAAGAGCTGTTCGTTGCATGACTGATATATGTAGTTTTTAAGCGTTTCAACTTAGATAACGTGACCTCCACGGACAGGGAATTCCAGAGTAATGAAAAGTACAGTTATTTAATTCTCGTAACGAAAACAGTATTGCTTTCGGAATATCTGGAGCTGTATTTAAGAATATCAGGTTAGTTAGGTAGTCAGGTGTCATTCCAATAATTGATCTATACATAAGAATCGCTTTATCCAAATATAATCTTCGATCAGTCGGCGTAGTTCTTAGTTTATGGAACATTTCATCAGAGTTCATATCAATAAGGTAGTCAAGTATTAGCGGAACTATGTGTTCAGATGTAGTATTACTCAAAATTGTACAACTACAGTCAAAACAAACCTGTATATTAGATTTATAGTGAACAAACCTATATAAAATCACGATTTTAGCTGTTTTCCGTTTCTAAAATTGAACTTGAGTGACAGAAAAATTGTTGGATCATCAGGAAAAAGATTGATTCTGCTATCTTTTTGTGTAAGGCGTTTGTGATCAACACATAGTGAGAATACATGGTCAGTGTCTTTAAGATATAAACTGTATTTTAGCGAGGGTGAAGGAAAAGTGGCAAACTTCAATCAACACTCTATGCACTGTTTTACAATAATGTTTATGTTTTTACTCAATCCACATGGGGAATTACATACAAGCCTGTGTTTGATTTATTACATAGGTTTTCCGATTTTTTTAGTGGAAGGTTCGAATCCTAACGGAGGTATTGGTATAAATCGAGACCTCTGTTACATATATATATTTGATATTGTTAAATATATCATGTCGTCAAGGTTCGGAACTATTCTACAACTGATCACATCACAGACTATGTAACATAAAATGCTGATAAAAACTTTCGATCTGACCCCTGATTAACGAAATTGGAGCTAGTAAATCGAACAAGGCTCCACATTTTCGATTACATAGTTTTACAAAAACAAGACATTTTCAATGATGAGTTCGTCTGTATCAATTAGATAGTCAATGTGTGTTTACCTACCTTAGCTTCGTTCCTGTTGTCAGATCAGCTATGATGACTGTAAGGTTATACATGATGCTTATGTCTATTGCCGAGAATAGAAACGGGAGTGCCATCATTACAGTGTCTTATTTATAGCAAACTGGAGTTCAAGTTATATTTAGAAAGAAATGTATTGATGTTTTGAGACGGTGTTGGGTTTCTGAGACTGGTTATGCGTTTCATTTGAGAGGAGTGTCGTCAGCTTGGGTAAAATTATCTCGTGAGGCCGACTGTCTCGAGTACCATTCAAATCTAGTTTTTTTTTTTTTTTTTGTGTTTTGTTTTGGGGTGGGGGTTATTCCTATTAAAAGATACATCTTTATTAAGAAAAGTAGTTCATCTGCACCTTCTCAAGATGTCTGTTGTAATGGAAGAATCCTTCCACCCTGAGAATAAACCCACCAAACAACTCCGTCCCCAGAATAATCTCACAATCGGTCGTCCTGTTTTCCCTAGAAGTTTAATCTCACATATTATTTCTACTTAAGCCACAGTACATATACACACTGTACTGGCCATCTGTCGGATGAAAGTGACTGTCACATATAATTACTCCCCATCAGATTGTAATGTATATATATATGTATGTGTGTGTACGTGTGTGCCACAATTACATTGCCTTGTTGGCCTTTTATGTTTACATATTTAAACGATACACAATGTTCTCATCTAATTGAACTATATATATACAATCTACAGGCTTATATTTGTAATATATATATATATATATATATATATATATATATATATATATATACAGTTTTTCCAGGCTACAGGTATATATATTGGTCATTGGTTAATTCAAATAAAATAGTGATTAGAGTTACTTCCCTTGAAGTAATGAATTTGTCACCTGCTTACTGTCACGTAAGAACTGTTGTAATAACTGGTAATACGCATTCAAATATTTGTAATATGTATTGTACACATACAGGTCACCTCACTACGGAATTCGTGGACCGATATACTACTCATGAGTTTCCATGCGCTACTTGTCTTTTGTTTCTTGGAGTTTTCCAACGGATGACAATTGCTTTTTGCTTTTATAGGGATCTCCATATACCTGCTGTCTTCACTGGTCGTTTATTTATTTCATATGCAAGTCTGTTTGAATACTCACAGCTGTGTACGTTTTCCAATGTCTCTTAGACGCATAGACAGGAAGATGTATGTTTTTATGTAGACTCACAGCTGTGTGTTATCCAAATACTTGAACCTGTATGTATCTACAATTTTTTGTGGAGATATGTGGAGTAAATGGGTAGTTTGTTCTGATATGAGATGGGGTCAAAATATATGAGTACAAGTTAAGAAAAATTGCAAAATTCATAGTGTTGTGGAATATTTTTTTTACATGTAAGTATTTGTAGTCAACAGGAAATATCTATTGTTTTTGTTTACAATCTACTGATTTCATTAGTATCATATTTTGTCATGTAAAATATAAAAAGGTTATCTTGATAGCCAGAAACGACAAATTAAGACACTAACGCTATATATTGATCAATGTGACTATTAGAAATGAGATTTCACTCCTGCCTTGTGCCGAAGCCAGTTAAAATATAAAAAGGTTTTCTTGATAGCCAGAAACGACAAATTAAGACACTAACGCTATATATTGATCAATGTGACTATTAGAAATGAGATTTCACTCCTGCCTTGTGCCGAAGCCAGTTAAAATATAAAAAGGTTTTCTTGATAGCCAGAAACGACAAAATAAGACACTAACGCTATATATTGATCAATGTGACTATTAGAAATGAGATTTCACTCCTGCCTTGTGCCGAAGCCAGTTGTTTACCGTAAACAATTCGAAAGTTGGAGGTAGATTTATAGACATGACGTGAACTGTATAGTAGTTATGTTTTGGGATCAATTTAGAGAGGCTAGCAGATATTTCTGGAAAAGAAACCAGACAAAAAAGACACATTTTAATTGATTTCTTTGTCAAAAAATTCTGTTATAAGAATCTGGTATTAAATGTTGTTGAAAATAGGTGTCAGATGGACCGTACTTATACCGTGAACAATCGACTTAATGAAAAAAGAAGAAGAGACCGTGAACGTCTTGCCATTTTTATTACAGGTACAATCATTAAATATATCACAGATATAACAAGCGGTCATATTCTTTCACGTATGTTCGTTATTAGGAACATATTTGTTAGACCTTAGTCACACCTTAATCGGAGGCAAATTAAGAGTGTGTTTCATCTTAGATACATTTTTATCTGAAGTACTGATTTTGATTAATTTCAACACGTGCTATACAAATCTCAGATAGGTGCCTAGTGTAAGACACGTGTTCCGTCTAAAGGCATGTGTTCAACATAAGACACGTGTTTGATCTTAAGACATGTTTTTTATCTTTGACACGTGCTAATATCAGATAAACGTTTGATCATACAAACATATCTATAAATAAATGGTCTGGTGGTGGCAATGCGCCAGGTTTTTCACCAAGGCGACCTGAGTTGATCACACATGTAACAAAAGCTGTCAACACAGTTACAAATTATTGTACATTAATCGTGGAAAATTGATACAAAACAGAAAACAGTTCATGTCCTGATTTTTTCTTTCATGTGTTCCACTTACAAATACTGTTATCTTGTCTTGTTTTATCTGTCACAATTATCCTTTCTCACTGAGTATTACCCCGTATTTCAGGAAAGAAAACAAATCATATTGTCGTTGTAACAGAAAATAAATGATTGTGTCAGATGTTGCCGCTGTAACAGAAAAAATAATTGTGTGAGATAGTGTCGCTGTAACAGAAAACAAATAATTGTGTCAAATATTTTCGGAAGCGAGCTTTGTATCAAACATCGTCGCCTTATTGATATTCTGGACAAGTTATGATATCGTTTATATATACCACAACCCGACACACAAAAACTAATTCTATATAGATCAAGTTAGATTGATTTACAAATAATCCCGATTGCGTCACAAGTTTGCACCTGTTTATTTTACTTATTTGAGTGTGTCGTTATCATATAGCATCCTAGATACTCCAGGGGATGCAATCTCTTTCGCTTTGTGAGTAACCATTGGTGTATTGAAGATTATCACATAAAAGCTACCATTTCAGTTTCTGTTTGTTAGTCCAGATCAAGCACAGTTTACTTAATCACTCCTGCTTAGGTTGCCATCGTGTTTCTAGTTTCGCTTTCAAAATCATCTTGTATTAATTTTGGTGGTCAAATCTAAAATCGGCCAGTGGCATTTTCATAAATGTAGGAAGGATATCAAATTCTGATGTTGACCATACATGATAAAATCATTAAGAAAGATTCTTGAAAGGTGCAGAACATCTCGAAGTTTTCAAGAAAATAACACTTTTCTTACGACAAGGGTCGATCATTAATAATACACGATGGATTTCAGTTGCAGAGAATTGAAACGTACACAAATGTAATATTTCCATTGCGTTACTGTCCTCGCCGAATCCAACAGAATCGTTTACGCCAAATAGATGACGATATATGTCTAATACGTACCTTTATTTCATAATAGGATTTGGTGTTGGCTATATATATACTTCTTTTGTCAATTGGAATTAGCAACCGGAAACATAATTTATTGTTTATTTAACGTAAAGCTAGTATACTCACTGTAGCACCACACGATTTCCATAGAACTTCTACAAGACTTGCAACACACAGGCCATGCACACGAAGAAGAACATGCAGCCCCTACCGTGAAATAAAATGCGTGCTCTAAATACAAAATATATACGGAACGGTCTTCAATAGAGAAATAATGTTTGATGGACATAGGAAACATTTAAGCTTTGTTCGCCAGCCGACATGTGCGTTTCACAGAAAAATCTTGGTTTGAGCACCCAGTATTTGTATTCCGGTAATTAACACTTAATTTTTACACACTCCCAGTATTTGAAGGAGATTTGGTCTATTATCTGTACATCAAGCACTTTAAAATTAGTTTAGTATTGTGTATGAAGCTAAATCACATACTACAGACAGCTAAGGTTATGTGTAAAGGTGAAGGCAGGCACATACTATACAGACATCTAAGATTATGTGTGAAGGTGAAGGCAAGCACATATTACACAGACATCAAAGGTTATGTGTAAAGGTGAAGGCAGGCACATACTACACAGACATCTACGATTATGTGTAAAGGTGAAGGCATGTACATACTAAACAGACATCAAAGGTTATGTGTAAAGGTGAAGGCGGGTACATACCACACAGACATCAAAGGTTATGTGTAAAGGCCAAGGCAGGCACATACTACACAGACATCTAAGAGTATGTGTAAAGGTGAAGGCAGGTACATACTACACAGACATCTAAGATTATGTGTAAAGGTGAAGACGGGTACATACTACACATACATCAAAGGTTATGTGTAAAGGCCAAGGCAGGCACATACTACACAGACATCTAAGATTATGTGTAAAGGTGAAGGCAGGCACATACTACACAGACATCTAAGATTATGTGTAAAGGTGAAGGCAGGCACATACAACAAGGACATCTAAGATTATGTGTAAAGGTGAAGGCAGGCACATACTACACAGACATCTAAGATTATGTGTAAAGGTGAAGGCAGGCACATACAACACAGACATCTAAGATTATGTGTAAAGGTGAAGGCAGGCACATACAACAAGGACATCTAAGATTATGTGTAAAGGTGAAGGCAGGCACATACTACACAGACAACTAAGATTATGTGTAAAGGTGAAGGCAGGCACATACAACAAGGACATCTAAGATTATGCTTAAAGGTGAAGGCAGGCACATACTACACAGACATCTAAGATTATGTGTAAAGGTGAAGGCAGGCACATACAACAAGGATATCTAAGATTATGTGTAAAGGTGAAGGCAGGCACATACAACAAGGACATCTAAGATTATATGTAAAGGTGAAGGCAGGTACATACTACACAGACATCTAAGAGTATGTGTAAAGGTGAAGGCAGGTACATACTACACAGACAACTAAGATTATGTGTAAAGGTTAAGGCGGGCACATACTACACAGACATCTAAGATTATGCTTAAAGGTGAAGGCAGGCACATACTACACAGACATCTAAGATTATGTGTAAAGGTGAAGGTGGGTACATACCACACAGACATCAAAGATTATGTGTAAAGGTGAAGACGGGTACATACTACACAGACATCTAAGATTATGTGTAAAGGTGAAGATGGGTACATACTACACAGACATCAAAGGTTATGTGATCTAAGATTATGTGTAAAGGTGAAGGTGGGTACATACCACACAGACATCAAAGGTTATGTGTAAAGGTGAAGACGGGTACATACTACACAGACATCTAAGATTATGTGTAAAGGTGAAGGTGGGTACATACTACACAGACATCAAAGGTTATGTGATCTAAGATTATGTGTAAAGGTGAAGGCAGGCACATACTACACAGACAACTAAGATTATGTGTAAAGGTTAAGGCGGGCACATACTACACAGACATCTAAGATTATGCTTAAAGGTGAAGGCAGGCACATACTACACAGACATCTAAGATTATGTGTAAAGATTATACCACACAGACATCAAAGGTTATGTAAAGGTGAAGGCAGGTACATACTACACAGACATCTAAGATTATGTGTAAAGGTGAAGGTGGGTACATACCACACAGACATCAAAGGTTATGTAAAGGTGAAGGCAGGTACATACTACACAGACATATAAGATTATATGTAAAGGTGAAGGCAGGTACATACTACACAGACATCAAAGGTTATGTGTAAAGGTGAAGGCGGGTACATACTACACAGACATCAAAGATTATGTGTAAAGGTGAAGGCGGGTACATACTACACATACATATATGATTATGAGTAAAGGAGAAGGCGGGCACATACAACACAGACATCAAAGTTTATGTGTAAAGGTGAAGGCGGGTACATACTACACAGACATATAAGATTATGTGTAAAGGTGAAGGCGGGTACATACTACACAGACATATAAGATTATGTGTAAAGGTGAAGGCAGGTACATACTACACAGACATATAAGATTATGTGTAAAGGTGTACATCTAAGATTATGTGTAAAGGTGAAGGCAGGCACATACAACAAGGACATCTAAGATTATGTGTAAAGGTGAAGGCAGGCACATACTACACAGACATCTAAGATTATGTGTAAAGGTGAAGGCGGGTACATACTACACAGACATCAAAGGTTATGTGTAAAGGTGAAGGCGGGTACATACTACACAGACATATAAGATTATGTGTAAAGGTGAAGACGGGTACATACTACACAGACATCAAAGGTTATGTGTAAAGGTGAAGGCGGGCACATACCACACAGACATCTAAGATTATGTGTAAAGGTGAAGGCAGGCACATACAACAAGGACATCTAAGATTATGTGTAAAGGTGAAGGCAGGCACATACTACACAGACAACTAAGATTATGTGTAAAGGTGAAGGCAGGCACATACAACAAGGACATCTAAGATTATGCTTAAAGGTGAAGGCAGGCACATACTACACAGACATCTAAGATTATGTGTAAAGGTGAAGGCAGGCACATACAACAAGGATATCTAAGATTATGTGTAAAGGTGAAGGCAGGCACATACAACAAGGACATCTAAGATTATATGTAAAGGTGAAGGCAGGCACATACTACACAGACATCTAAGAGTATGTGTAAAGGTGAAGGCAGGTACATACTACACAGACAACTAAGATTATGTGTAAAGGTTAAGGCGGGCACATACTACACAGACATCTAAGATTATGCTTAAAGGTGAAGGCAGGCACATACTACACAGACATCTAAGATTATGTGTAAAGGTGAAGGTGGGTACATACCACACAGACATCAAAGATTATGTGTAAAGGTGAAGACGGGTACATACTACACAGACATCTAAGATTATGTGTAAAGGTGAAGATGGGTACATACTACACAGACATCAAAGGTTATGTGATCTAAGATTATGTGTAAAGGTGAAGGTGGGTACATACCACACAGACATCAAAGGTTATGTGTAAAGGTGAAGACGGGTACATACTACACAGACATCTAAGATTATGTGTAAAGGTGAAGGTGGGTACATACTACACAGACATCAAAGGTTATGTGTAAAGGTGAAGGCAGGTACATACTACACAGACATATAGGATTATGTGTAAAGGTGAAGGCAGGTACATATTACACAGACATCTAAGATTATGTGTAAAGGTGAAGGCAGGCACATACAACAAGGACATCTAAGATTATGTGTAAAGGTGAAGGCAGGCACATACTACACAGACATCTAAGATTATGTGTAAAGGTGAAGGCAGGCACATACAACACAGACATCTAAGATTATGTGTAAAGGTGAAGGCAGGCACATACAACAAGGACATCTAAGATTATGTGTAAAGGTGAAGGCAGGCACATACTACACAGACAACTAAGATTATGTGTAAAGGTGAAGGCAGGCACATACAACAAGGACATCTAAGATTATGCTTAAAGGTGAAGGCAGGCACATACTACACAGACATCTAAGATTATGTGTAAAGGTGAAGGCAGGCACATACAACAAGGATATCTAAGATTATGTGTAAAGGTGAAGGCAGGCACATACAACAAGGACATCTAAGATTATATGTAAAGGTGAAGGCAGGTACATACTACACAGACATCTAAGAGTATGTGTAAAGGTGAAGGCAGGTACATACTACACAGACAACTAAGATTATGTGTAAAGGTT